ACTTCAGTTTCACTGGACCTGAGCCTTTGAGCTGTGGAGAATTCCTTCTCCAGTGCCTGATGTCTCCTCGAGGCCTCTCGCTCAGCAGTCTTGGAGGGTTCTGTAGATAAATGCTTGGTTTTGGCTTTTTTTCTTTCCCCCCGTGCTCATATCAGAAGATCTGCGTTTGGATTGTGCGGGGGGGGGCATCAGAACCCTGCGAAGTCTGAGGAGTATCACCATCTGCCATTGTGCACCGGCCTTCCAGATAGGAGAAGCCCTATAATGGGGGTAAACATGCAGATCAAGTTGTCCGGGAGGGAGGCTTCCCATGCCCTAAGTCAACCACAATGACAAATAGCCAGACAGCTTCCTAAAACTGTCTGCCTAGGCCCTGCTGGCACAGCGCCGCGAGCTAATTAGGTTTGTGAAATTCTCCCTCGGATTAAAATTAGTAATAAAATTATTTGAATGATGTAATAATAATCAGAAAGGGAAACCCCCTCCTTTTAAAAGGAATCCTTGCACAAAGGAGTAGAATAAATTGTTCAGATGAACCCCCTCAAAGCCCAACACAGTAGGCTACAGGAAATTCCAAGGGCTGATATTTGTTTGTGTGAAGGCCTCACCAAAATGGCGGCCACACCCAGCCCTATTCAAAATGGCGGCCGCAAGCCTCCTTGCCACCTAATGGCGACGCTCGAGGGAAATAGAACGACGATTAAGGCCACCACCAGGCGTTCGGGGGATCCCACGGGTCCCTGCCACCCAGTCTTCACCTATTTTGATTAATAAGATGTCAAACTTGCGGTTCGGTGTGCAGGCAAACAGCCGCCCAATCGTCCTCCGGAGCCTTGTGGCCACGAGGCTGAAGAAATTCCTCCCGGCAAGTTCTCCGATCCTCCGGATGCCGAACGGCTCGTTCCTGGGCGCTGGGGAATCCCCCTCGCCGCGTCAAACAGCCGAGCCTAAGAAAAAAACTCCAAAGCGCTCAGGGAACCCCCGTCGCAGCGCCAAACAGCCGGAGCGAACTCCGGCCCCAACGGCGAAGTCGAGGCTCCTAGGGAGTTGCGTCCCTGTAGTACCCAGGGACTCGCTCCCAAACAGTTGAAAACCCTTCTGCACTCCTCCTAACTAATGCTAATGTATAAAGAAAAAGCAAATAAAAGGAAACTTGCCAACTAATTTACTCTAAACTAACTAAACAATTTAATTAAATAGAGGAGCTACGGAAGTTGTGTCCTACTGAGACGAGACTAAGACAAAACTGGGAAAGGACCGCCCAAGGGAGGCGTGGCCAAAGTTTGGTCTTAGTCTAAACTGAGCAGGAAGGCTTCGATAACCCATTGGTGGATGCTACATCTGTCATGCTGGAGAACATAACAGAACTTCATAAAATAGTAATCCAGGAGTAATATATGTTGCAGCCTACAGTACTTCGCAGGTGGTATTAAAAATGATCACATACCTCAAAACAGTTGGCTCAGGCATCCCAGGATCTGCGCCTCTCTTAAAACCTATTTACAATATAAAAAAAGTCCTGTGAACTTTATGAAAATATTATTGGTCTTCTTTACATAATAT